CATCAGCAAGTCTTTGGGCTCTTCTGCCAAACGATGCTCAGGATCCAATTGCTTCTTGTTTACTGCCACCCATCAGAACAAGCCTCATTAATTCATATCCGAGTATTGCAATAGCCTGGTCTCTCTGCCTTCATTCTGAAAATCTACCTTCCACATAGCATCCAAGTGAGTAGGGCAAAGGAATCAGATCACATCACTCACCTGCTTAAATCTTCCAAAGATGTTCCAAGCACTTAGACTAAAATCCAAGCTTTCCACGCAGCCTTCATGGACCTTTATGACCTTGCCTTTGAATACCCCGACCTCATGTTGGTCCCATGGTCCTTCTGTCTACACTTTAGCAACGCTTCCCTTTTGTCTGTACTTTGATCATAATTACCCTATTCGCATCTCAGGACCTTTACACTGGTTGTTTCCTGTCTGGCCTACTTCTTTCCAGGTCTTCATCTACCTATCATTCAGGCTTCACACCAAAGGCCACCTCCCCAAAGATGCCTTCCCTGACACTCCTGCCATTATCACATAACCTGTTGTGTCTCCATAGTAGAGGGGCTCAAAATAATATAAAACATTGGTCTAAAAATTGCCTAGCCACCAAAATGAACAAGTCAGAAAACAGTGACACTGTAATCATTGTTTACAAGGTTTTACTCTTAGAAGGCATTCAATGCATACTCAATTTCCATAGGTTAAGTTAGGAAATGGAAGTCAAACTCTAATGGAAGGAAAAGGTACCAAGATAACAGGGAACAAATTGAAGAACTGTGGCTCGCAGGAGTATAGTAAAGAAGCCAATAAGAGTGATCAAATAATTATTTTAAAAGAATTTTCTTGGCTATGTTTAAAAAATAAGTCCACTACATTAATTCGTGGAGATGAGGACAAAGGAAGAGTCCACCACTGACACAAATTACACATAAAGGATAGAGAGGTCTTTATTTTTTTTGAGATGGAAAGGGTTTTAATGACAAAGTATAAAGCATGAAGGTACATGGTCTACCAACCATTACCGACCAAGGGAGGCAGGCAAGTATTTAACGTCACAGCGTTCCGGGATTGACTGGAGGGCTGCTTCCCATCCAGGATAAGAATTATCTTTGGTGTTCCTTATACTCTTGGTATGCTTTTTTTTGTTTGTTTGTTAATTATTATTTTTTATTGTAAAATACACATTTTTTAGAATTATTTTCAGCCATACAATACAGTGCAATAGTTATACTTTTTACCCCTCGAAGTGACAACCCCTCTTCCCCCAATCTGCTGCCCCACTTTCCCCCCCATATCATACATATCTATTACAATTCCCTTGACTCCACTCCCGCACTATACTCCACATCCCATGACTATATACATATATATATATATATATAATATATATATATATATATATATATAATATTCACTTAGAGTTGACATACAATATTATACAACATCAGCTTCAGGTGTACAGTGCAGTGATCAAGCCTGTACCCCATCCATGATGCGATCTCCCTAGCAAGACATGTGACCATCTGATACCCTACAAAATATTTACAACATTATTAATTATATTCCTCGAACTGTCTTTCAGATCCCTATGGCAATATTGTAGTAACTATTTATGCTGTCCAATCTCTTCCCCTTCTCCCTCATCCCCACCCCCTCCCAACTAGGAACCATCAGTCGTTCCAAGAATAGAGAGGTCTTGATGCTGAAGAGATAGACAGTAAATGGAAGATATAAGATTCTCTGATTAGAATGCAGGGGCTCTGGTATATTAGATGATAGTGGTGCTACTTATTGCAGTGAAGAAGTTAGAAAGGAGAGAACTTACACAGAACAAAAAATAATTTTGTGTTTTGAGTTTTTATGATTTCAGCTTTAGGTTTAGGCCATAAATAAATATTTTTTAGCAAATAAGTGATAAAACTGGAATTGGAGTGAGATCTTAAGAGTGGAAATATAAACTTGGGACTTTTCTCCATATACAGGGTTGTTAAAATGGCAAAGGCATTCAATACATTTATTGGACTCCTCCAAAGGTAGAGTGCAGGAGCTGAGGCAGAGTTGGAGGCACCCTCTCACCGGGTTTGCAAGAATAGTCCATGAACCAACAAGTTGTGTTCTGTATCATGCATCAGCAAGCCCAGCCTAGCGGCTAAATCCAGACTGCCACCTACTTTTGTACAGATGGTAACCTAACGCTTTTTAAATGGTTGGAAAACATCGAAAGAATAACATATCATGACACGTGAAAACTATCAAATTCACGTTTAAGTGTATATATAAAGTTTTATTGCGATATAGTCACACCCAGTTGTTTACGTGCTGTCTATGGCTGCTTTTGTGCTGCAATGTCATGGTTGAGTAGTTGTGACTGAGATCATGTGGCCTGTAAAACCTAAAATATTTACTCTTTGGACCTTTACAGAGGAAAAAGTTTGTAACCCCTCTTCTTCAAAGCAGACCTAGGGAAGAAGGCTTGTGGCCGAGTCCTATAACTAAACTATCAAGAGGAGGAAAGGGAGCCAGTGGGAGAGACTCAAATTCAAGTTGGATGCGCACCCAGACCACATGCTGCCATGGAAGCTGAGGTTATAAAGTCCAAGGAGGAGGCTAGCCATTAGAGAATTGCAGAATACTATTAGAGGACTCGTATTGAGCTTCTTAAACAGGGATATGCATTTCTTTAAATACCAGTGACTATGTGCCAAGGAGTATGTGAAGCCATAGGAACAAATAAACACAGAACATCTTCCTGGAACACGATTTCACTCCGGTTTTTTTTTTGGGGGGGGGGGTGCTGAAGATTGGGGACTAATTTTGTATTTAAAAAGAAACAGCCATTTTACTGAGTAGAATGCAAAATTTGCATGAATTTTTATATAAAATCAGGAGGTTAAAGACATTTCAAATTTGAAATAAGCCTGCTTCATGTTGTAATCCCAGAGTTACAAATTAATTTTTCTCTGTCTTTAAGGGTTCTTTAGTGGAAAGGTGCAAAAATTACTGCATGGGCCTTTCCAAAGGGTGTTTCTGAGAGAAGACAGTTATCACCATCTAGGGCATGCAATTGACCTGGGAATCAAAAAGGTTATAACTCTCCTGCCAGTGCCCCCGTTGATGGTGTTTTCTTGGAACACCTTTATTGGGAAGGATTCTGAGACTTGTCTTTATTTCGGCAAAGATTAGCAATGTGTTCTAATGCTGGGGGAGGTGGTACATAGCAGTTTGCTGTAATTATTCATCATAGATTAACATGGGAATCTGTCTAAAGCTTTTTAAATTTATTGGGTTAACATTGATCAATAACATATAAGTTTCAGGTGTACAACCTTATAATATATCATCTGTATATTCTATTGTGTGCTCACCACCCAGAGTCTAGTCTCCTTCCATCACCATGTATTTGACCCCCTTTACCCTCTTCATCCTCACCTCCTTCTCTGGTAACCACCATACTGTTTTTCGTATCTATGAGTTTGTTTGTTGCATTTGTTCAGTTGTTGCTTTTGTTTTATATCCCACACATGAGTAAAATCTGCTATGTTTTTTTGTCCTTTTCTATCTGACTTATTTCCCTTAGCATGATACTCTCAAGATCATCCATGTTGTTTCAAATGACACTATTTCATCTTTTCTTATGGCTGAGTAATATTCCACTGTATATATGTACCATATCTTCTTTATCCAATCATTGGTTAAAGGACACTTAGGGTGTTTCCATGTCTTGGCCACTGTAAATAAAGCTGCAGTGAACATAGGGGTATGTACATATGTCTTTACAGATAAGTTTTCAAATTTTTCAGCTAGAGACCCAGGAGAGGATTACTGGGTCTATTAATTTTTTGAGGAACCCCATACTGTTTTCCATAGTGTCTATACCAGTTTACATTCCCACCAGCAGTGTATATTAGTTCCCTTTTCTCCACATCCTCTCCAACACTTGTTATTTTTTGTCTTGCTGATAATAACCATTCTAACAGGTATGAGATGGTACCTCCTTGTTGGTTTGATTTGCATTTCCCTTATAGCTAGTCAAGTTGAGCACTTTTCATGTATCTGTTGACCATCTATCTGCATGTCTTCTTGGGAAAACTGTCTGTTCAGGTTCTCTGCTCATTTTTAATTGGATTGTTTGTTTTTTTGTTGTTGTTCAGTTGTATGAGTTCTTTATATATTTTGGATATTAGCCCCTTATCAGAGGTATCACTTTGCAAATCTTCTTCCATTCAGTCAGTTGCCTTTTTGTTTTGTTGATGATTTCTTTTGCTATGCAGAAGCTTTTTAGTTTTATGTAGTCTTATTCATTTATTCTTGCTTTTATTTCCCTTGTCTTTGGGGTCAAGTTTACAAAAATCTCTCTGAGACCAAGGTTCCTAAGTTTAGTACCTATGTTTTCTTCTATGTATTTTATTATTTCAGGTCTTATAGTCATCTTTAATCCATTTTCTTCTTTTTTTATTATTGGTTTAATCCTTTAAATAATCCTATTCCATTTAACAGATAACACAAAAATGAAAAATAGCTATATTTTCAAAAAAACATTTTTCAAGAAGAGTAGATTCTTTTACATTGTTTACAAATCTCATTAATGGATCTCTGACTTCTTACACAGATGGATTCTCATTTTAATCCATTTTCAATAAATGGTGTTCAGAAAATTGGAAGGCCACACACAAAAAAGAATGAAACTAGACTCTCTGACACCACATATAAAAATTAACTCAAAATGGCTAAATCTTTTTGACATTTATCAGAATGTTCAACCTGTCAATCAGATTTAATGTTTATTACCTACTTTTAAAGCCATAGTTTCCTTTACATCTCTGCCTTCATGATTCAAGGGATATCAACTAACAAGTGTACCATAAAGGAAAACTTGAAGATTTATAATAATGATCATCCCAATCCATTTAATCTTTTTATGATCCCCACAAGATACATAGGTGAAGAGGCACTGTATTCCGTGTGACCATGTTTAATATTTTATTTCACAAGGAACAGGATATTTAACAAGAGAAAAAAATACATTAACAGAAAAATAAATGGTAGAAATATAAATGAAAAATTGGAGTGGGTGAAACTAGGGCAAGAATAGTTAGGATAATAATGGAGCAGTTCAGAAGAAGAGAGGACCCAACAGGTCTAGGACAAAGAAAGTGAAGAGCTGGGGAGAAATTCAACAGCTTTCTAAGGTAGACTCACGAGAATCTAGTAATAGATTAGATGTAGGAAACACTGAGCGTAAATGATGAATACTGGTGTCTTTGCTTTTAACCAACTAGGTAGATACAGATATTAACTATTATTTGGGAAAGGCAGGAAGAGGGATTGCTTAGGGGGCAGATTTTGGTGATTATGCTGATCACTTGCTTCTTTGCTCTTAGGTATATGCTCTGCCCTTCCCCTGAGTTCCTCAGCATCAGATGCTGGCAGTAGACTGGAGGTTGGAAGGCGGGGAGAAGTCAGGGTATTTCTTCCTCTCACTTTGCCTCAGGCAACGTCTCTCATTGTGACCAGATCTTTCCCACGATGTCAGCTCCCACCAGACAAGCTTTGTCTTTGGTTCCAGTTTCTTCAGTGGTCATAGCTCTAGCCTCAGCTATAGTTCTAGCTCCATTTGGATGGCCATGCCTTCTGGATTCTAGAAACTTCACCTTTTCCTGTTATTCCTCTCGTCCTACAGATGATAGTGGCTTCTTGCTGTTGCTAATCTCTGGGCTGTCTTGCCATCCCCAGGCTAGCTTCTTGTCTCATGTATCACCTGTGAAAACAATTCCCAATGTTAAATCCCCTAGACTAGTTTATGTCCATGACTGGACTCTTGACTGATACAGCAATAAATTCAGGTTTAGATAGATTGTGCTTGAGATTAAGTGCGGTGCGGGTGTCCCTGATCAAGATATTTAGAAGCAGCTTGGAAATAGTTACTGAAGACCTGGTGACAGGGATTGGTTTGGCAGATAACAACATGCAGGTTGTAGCTGAAGGCATAACGTTAAGATTTCCCAGGTGGGGTACGCAGATGAAAAGATTAAACAGTGGGCTAACCCCTGAAATGTCAACATTTTTAATTTGGGCCAAGAAAGAGAAGATGACTGAAAATAGCCAGAAAAGTAGAAAACCCAGGTTAGGAATGTTGCAGAAGCCAAATAAGAAACAGAATTCCTAAAGGATAGGGAACAGCCGAGTCAAATTCGGTAGAAACAGCAGATACGACACGTACAAAAGGATTAAGGCAATAAGACAAACTTCTTCCTTGAATTTAGCCAGCAGAATGTCATTGCTGCTTGTGTCAGAACAATTACAATACAGTGGTGGGAAAGAAACAAGATTATGGATGAGTTAAGATGAGAATGGGAGAAGGTTGAAGCCATCTATGAATGTAAGTTACTTTTTCAGGATATTGGACAATGAAACCTTTGAAAGAAAGAATACCTTAAGTCAGAGGGAGAGGAAGGGCTGAAGAGACCAAATGCATGGATACTGAAGGTCCCCCAAAAGTAAGAGGGAACGGGATCAAATATATAAGTGGAACGGCTATCCCTCTTGAAAGAAGAGGGAGGATAATGAGGTTGGCCAAGATACAGAAACATTTTTAGGGTTTCTAATTCTGCCTTTTCAAACATGCTATGATCACGTGGTATCCACTGTGTACAAACTTCTCTCCAATGAACAGAAGTATTATTTACTATTATTTCTGTTGCCTACTCACAGCTCCCCTTTATAACAAAACAAAACAAAAGTTGGAGAAGGAATCATGTCACCTTTATGGAAATCACATGCTTAAGGCTGAGTGTTAGTTTTTCTCCAAATGTCTCCAGCAAAACATGAAAATTCCATTTCCAGTGACTGATATTAGCATCTTGAAAAAGAACAAAGACATAGTCATGAATGGGCTTTTCTAAGTGCTGATCTGTCAAATTTTCATTTCTCATCCTGAAGACATTTAAAATGTATTCTTAGCAACTTTCCAATATGCAGTCCAGTCATTATGCTGTATAGTGTTAGATCCCCATGACTTATTTATAACTGGAAGTTTGTACCTTTTGATCACCTTCTCCCATTTCACCCATCCCCCACTCCAATTTCTTAAGTGAGACAGTTTAGTCCCATCTTTTACAGATGCTAAGCTACCTGAAAATATTGGGAAGAAAACCAGTTTCATATATTCTATTTATATACATTGAATCAGTATAGGAATGGTAGAGCTATTTATGGAAAACTACCCAATCTTCTTTGTATAACTACCCTGAAGCTGTAAATTACACTACAATATGGGTCGGCTATAGCTGTAAATCAGGTCCCATAAGAATAGAAGTTTGAGCAAATAATGTCCAGGTGTCAAGCAATAGATTGAAGGGAACTGATGTTTTCAGACACACACATTCTATTTTGTTGACAAAGAGAAATGAATATTTTTGAAATAAAATCGCCGAAGACAGTGGTAATTAAAAATAACAGGTAATAACTTGGGTAGTGCTTAATATATATCATGCTGTGTTGATCATACTTTATACATTTTACCTGGTTTAACCCTTAAACATATTTTACTTAATTTATACATATTTTATTTAATTTAGCCCTTAAAACACAGCCCTTCATGTAGATAATATTGTTACTTCCATTTTACAGATGAGGAAACTGAGGCCTGGAGAGACTAAATAATCTGCCTCCAGAGTATTCTAAGTCTAGATTAGAACTCAGGTAGTCTTAACCATTCCACTAGAGTGTCATTTACAGCTAAACTGGTTAGTGTCTTAGATGTACTCACTACCATAGGTTTTAAAACACTTTTGTCTGATTTTCTTTTTTTAAAGACCATCGTTTGGGGGTAGAATTTTAAAGTTGCTTTTTTTCCTAAATATATCTCTAAAGAAAAACATTTCCACAAATACTTTTGAAGTTTTTTAATGCACGAAAAGAACATCCCATTAGCAGAACAGGTATTGACATATTACTGATAAGGAGACTCCTCCCTGCTTAGTAAATAGATGTGAAAGGAAGTGAACACTTTAGGATTAAATGCAAACCCTAAAGCTGAATACAACATTCATATATGGCTTATCTCATAGCAATAATATTTTCAAAACAACGTATATGACATTTATAATTATTGGAAAGATGCTTTTGACTCAAAAGTTAACCAAAATGCTAAAGAGGTAGTTTTGCCAACGCAAGGTGAGAAAAAGGCTTTACCTTGCTTTGTTTTTTTTTGTTTGTTTTTTTTAATCCTCAAAAATCTGCAACCATTTCTTTTTGTTCTAATTTTCTGGATCAGTCAGGAAGAGAATGATGTTTTTAGAAGTAGTCGATGGAAATCCCTTTAAGAACTGATTCCCCAAGGGGGACAGTGATGGTTTTGAAACAGCTGCTCTGGAAGTCCCCTGGCGAGTTTCCATCATGTTCCTCTCTGTCTTGGATATGAAGGAGACCTCACCAGCAGTTGTAGGAATTCACCCTCTTTTCTTAAATTCTACACATGGTCTCGTGGAACTTCTGCAGTGACCCAAAAATACTGGTAGGTGCTCTGTCATTGTCACTCGGGGACTACTTTCAATAATACATATACGTATATTGAAGTTTGAAGTGAAAGTCTGAAAAATTCTCTAGCTGGCCTGTGAAACTACATGAGCACTACAGGTGACAGCATATCATTCCTCATGTGTTTTCAGTTGTGTTTCATAAAGTCACATCTTAGACTCAAAGGGAGTTTGGGCTTCTGACTGCCAGAGGGCCTGTGCTGCTTTATCTGTGGGAGGAGACTTGGCCTGGGGGAAGGTGTACTGATATTCAAATTCTTTGACACCCGGTCTTTGGACCCTATATACAAACTAGCTTATCCTATCCTTACAATGAGAAATAAGCCCACAACGAAAAGAAAGTTCCAAGGAGGGGGCAACAAAACACTTGTCAATTCGCAAAACTAGAACAGTCATTTACCGGACAATGGTTAGGAACCACTAAAAACAAAGTGACATCATATTAATCAGGTATGACTTGTTACACATAAGAGAGCATAAATATACAGTAAATAAGAGGTTTATACGTAGCCCCAGCAGAATATGTACATAGTAGAGCCGCTGTGAAATTGAGCAGGAATTCCTGTAGCGTAGCCCCAGTTAAAAGCAGTTTCATCGCACAACAGTTTGAAGGTAACAGATGCCGAGAACGACATGTGGTAACGCTAAGCAGATATCCACATACATTTATCCTTGACAATGCACAACGTGAGAAATAAAGGGCACAAGGGAAATAGCGCTTTGCCTGCTGAACATCTTCTTCCCCGTAAATATGCACACGTCCCTTCTCCAGTGGTGGTCTGCAGCCTCACACTGCTCGCCTCTCCATGGCGGTGCCAGGAGCTCAGGGCACACGCGAGCCACGTCACATGCTGCGTGCTCGCTCGCTCCTGCTTCCACTGATTCAGGTCAGAAGCTGCCCGCTTCACAGTCTCCAGATGCAAATCAAAGCATAAATAACAGAAACCACACTCGTGATTCCTCCTTTCACAATATGACTGGGAACAGGTACTGGTCAGAGCTGCACAAACGCCGCACACCAGTGTCCGGGAGTGGAGAGTAGCTTTGTGCACGTTTGCAAAAACGAAAACCCCCCAAATCCACCCTCTGTGTCTTATTTTACTGGTTGGCCCTGTCTGTGGCTAGGAAGACGCTGTGTTGTTCCTGGGCTCTGTCTATCAGTTTCCTCTTCTTCTTCTTGTTCTTTCTCTCCTTGGGCTTGGGCGCTCTCTTCCCTACAATGGAGGAGACAGAAAGAAATGAAGACGTGTCAGAAAAGGCTCTTTCTCTAGGAAAGAAAACATAAAACATTAGGAGTTTTACACAAAGCCCATCTGGAAGACATCACCTATGGAAAAAGCAGCCTCAAAGAGAAAATTGTTCACATTAATTTTGATGGAATAATAATAATTTACTAAATTGGATATGCTGTCTAAAACAGAGACTGATCTTCCTGTTACAGGGAACTGGCATATTTAAAAACCTCCCAGCGGCCTGATCAGTCTTGCAAATATCATCCTGCCACAAAAATTCCATTTTTCCCCTCCTACCTTTAACAATGCTACCCTTCACTAGGCATCTTTACGTCTTTCTACTGCTCCACATGTCAGTGGGTCGAAAGAAAATAAGCATCTATCTACAGCAAATATACCAGAAGTTTCAAACTCCCCTCTCCCTGCCCCATGGGAGAAACAAATGTCTTGCTTTTAACATTATTCCCTCCATGTTCTCCAAAGACCAATATATGAAATGACATATGTGGAACACTTCTTTATTTTCTATAAAAATTCACGAGGACATCATTCATTATGTGGCGTACAGCTTCTTATAGAAATCCCCTAGACAAGTTGTTCTTACGATTCATTGAGAGCAAGAAAAATGCTTGTTTCTGAAGAACTGGTGGTATGTGTCTTACTACCAGAAAAATCACACCATGTTATCCCATTTCTCTTCTTTGCTTTAGTCACTAGGAAGCTCAGACCACAAGCTAAATAGTTGAGGTTTTCTTCCAACAGGAGATTTGAGAGGCAGTTTTCCCTTTGCCTCTGTTGTATTTCACTTCTTAAATCTTATGGTTATGGACTAGAGGCTTTATTTCTTTGCATGTACATATACATAAGATTCTGAGGGGAAAAAAATAAGGAACATAGGCATTTGCTGTATGTCCACTGTTTTCTTTGGGTTCTAAACACATAGGCATCTTTGGATTTTTAGGACAGAAAATAGCTTTAAAGATCACCTGCATTTTACAGAAAGTCAGCACTGGACACCGTTAGTATAGTATCTCCCAGGAAGATAAAACTTAATTTTTGTTGAATTACACAATAAAGTCAGAAGTAGGGCAGGTAGGAGAAGAAATGCTGATAGTGGGATTCTTATCTGTTGAGGAAAAACCTTTTATCATAAGAAAAAAGATAAAGAATAACTTATTTTTAATAGGACACTACAGTAAAATAATTAGAATATGATCATGCCCTCATATTAAATTATGAAGGTCCTTGAAGTTAACTTCTGGTTCTCATTAAATTCTGGCATTAATGTTATAATGGCATTTTGCCATCTTTAAACATAGTTAATCCTACCCAATGAAACTTTAGTCCAAGCCATCATTAATCAAAAAAACTGTAAAGTTACAACTATTTAGTAACTCTATATCTAACGATGAGACACACCTAACGAGGGCAGAGAGATGAAATACTTAACACAAAATAGCATATTTAAAAAGAAGCTTCAATTATAAAGTTTTATGATAAGTTTTCTTAGGTCTGTATTTTCTCTAAACAAAAATCCTTTAAAAACTCATTGCTCACTACACTGTAAAAATTAATTTGGTTTATGTTTCATTTCTTTAAAGGCTGGGGTTTGTTTTAAAAGCAAATTGAAATTAAGTGAATGGAAAATAATGCCAACATTCCATGATTTTAAAATGTATTCTGTTAAGATAAAAATATACTGAATATGTTATTTGAAGAAAGCTTTTCACAGTCACCATTTCAATTCTTCATATAAATGATGTAGTTGAAAGTTAAATGTGTACCACTTTCACTAACAGCAAATCTAAGCTAAATTACTGGAAACTCATTTTAAGAGAGGGTCAATTTCATGTCACGTACCTAATATATTATTCTGATGTAATTGTCAATATCAAATGGTCTTGGGGTTTACTGGCTGATATAATATTGTATGATAGGGACATTATTTAATATTTGCATAAAACCATTCATATTGTGGCCAAAAATTCAGCAATGTTTCTGAAAACTTATTTATATAAAATAATTTTTCAAATTGCATGATTATTCCATTGGCAATAAGTACTATGGTACTGGTTCCAACTCAAGATGTTTTGGGAGACCTAATTACCACCCTAAAATTTTTCCTCAGCAGTCCCTTTTGAATGGCAGCTCTGTGTTATTGGTTCACTGCTTGGTTTTGTTTTTGATCAGCCCCATTTCTCATGTAGGATATATTGCAAATACCAAAGAATTAAGATGGTTAGCCAAGGTTTGACCAGGAATAGGCCTAAATTAACTGAAAATATTTTGTGGTCCCTAGTAGTTGTTATGACTTTGAGCCCAACTCGAAGTAATAAAAGAATATTAAAACATATCCTAACATAAGGTATAAAAAGTGTCTTGCATATATTTTCTTTTGAACTCTGCTAAGATTTTCAAACATAAGAAATTAATCAGTAAGATTAAATCTAACCAAAAAATATATATTCCTCTTCTTATCTATATACCCGGGGTGCCCCAAAAAAAAACATATACACATGATTTCTATTCATCTTTTGTTACCAGTATATATTGAGAATTACAATTTTAATAGTTTTTTCCATTCTTAAAATGTCTATACATTTTTGGTACCCCCTCTGTATCTGAAAGTAAGTCATATTGAACATATAACCATGCTAATTAATGTTTCCACTTAAATTCTTTACATCTATGGATATAAGATTAGATTCAAAGAATGACTTCTAGACTTTCAGGTTGTTTCACATTTTCAAGAACAGTTTCCATATACAGGAAGCATTTAAAGGCACGTATGGTATCAGTCACCCAAAGAGTAATTCATCTCATGATTTAACTCTCTTGCTTTTTAGCTCACAAGATAAGATTTGGAAAATATGCTCCCCAAGATTGGCAGAAATTGGCAGAAAAGGTTTGAGTTTCATGAAATTATCAGCCTCTAGGTATGTCCAACCCTAATGACAAATTCAGCATATCTTTGTCCTGAGTATTTTAAGAATGGAGTGGCTGCGACAAATCCTGTTGAGTGAATCGCTTCAAGATCAGGCAGAATTTGATCTACAGCGGAAATCTTTTCAGCACTGTTGTGTGGATGCAAGACCACTGGTCCAAATATTGCAGTTTTTAAAGAAGGCAATGTGGTTAATAGAGAAAGGCCTCCCTTTGGGAGGAAGAAAACCTGGTTGGTAGGCAGTCTTGTAACAGAGATATATGGCAAGATACTATCCTTGTGGCTCTCCGTTTCTACATTTATAGAACGAAGATGCTACATCATCCTCCACTAGAAAGTTATGAGACAAGTTATGAAAAGCTTGTGTTCCCAGGCTGAAAGGAAGATGTGTAAAACACCCCTAGCAAGACAAGATTATCATCAAAATGAACAAAGTTAGAAAGATATTATCGAAGCCACATTCTAGCCAACATAATTACACTGACTTGCACACATGTGGAAATGGTCCAACAGGATAACCTATCAACTCTTCTACAGAGAAAGGTGAACAGTCCCTTATGGAAATACTCCTAACATCCAGCTGTAGATTACTGCTATTAGAATCAGAAATAGGATAGATTATTTTGAACCAAGATATCAGGCAGACTCACAAATTACATGAAGCTGTGAAAATACCGACTCCACTGCCAGTCAGACATGAATTTCATTCTTTCATAAACTCCCAAATGCTAGGAAGTTCTTCAAATGTTTTTCTTTATCTTACTAGGCTTAGGTCAGAGTCTTTTCATCATTGGAATAATGGTTCCTGTATATCCATCGGTAAGGCACAAAGGTTGTCAAGAGTTTCAATAATGATTACTAAGTGTTTTGAGGAAGACTTTCTAATAATGGTAAATACAGTAAATGAAAATTGAAGAAAAAATTCAGTGGCTGTGACTAAGAAATAAGATAAAAGCTGCCTGTTTCTTTCTACACACACACACACACACACACGCACGCTGGGGAAAGTAAGCCACATTATGACAAATGTAACTAACTTTAATTACCATTGTGATAGCCACAGCTTCATAACAAAGCAATCACCTGAAAAAAAGGACCAATTTCTACTAAGTTTTCATGCTAAATTTGTGATGCTAACTTGAAACCTGGGCCTTGGCTGTGTTCATGAAATTCACAATGGAGATTCGGGGATCCCCTCAAAAAGATTCAATCATCCTTCAAAGCAGCTAAAACTGAGGGACAAGGAGGCTGTATAACCACCAACTGGTGAATCTTGTCATACTTTAGAGGGCATGCTGGAGGCAGAACAGAAAAGGTTGTTTCCAGACCTCAAGTCACGGGGGCTCAGTTACAGACAATGAATAACAATCGGGCTATTACTTTCTCTCCTATGGGCAACTTGAGTTTTTCCAAGAAAGAGTAGCAACAGAAATTTATTTATTTAAGAGTGATTGATGATTCTCTGGAAAAATGCCAGCTGGGTCCTAAAATATTTTAAAAGCTCATAAAAATAGACAAAAGACCTAAATACAATTCAGAAAGGAAATAAAAATAGCTAATAAATATATTTAAACAATCACATCTCACTATTAAAACCACCAATAAAATGAGTTGCCACTGCAAAGACTCTTAAAAGTGAAACTATCTAAAGCTAGTTAAATGGGGTGCGACAGGCATCAGGATGCAGTTTGAGAATATAATATTAATATGCAAAGCCTTTATAAAAAGCCATTTGGCAATGTGTAAAAGAGCACTAAAATGTTCATAACTTGTGACTTAGATCTAGGAATATATCTTAGGAAAATAATCTAAACTTGGACAGAGATTTCTGCACAAAGATGTTTACCATAACTCTCAAAAATTTATAAATTACCTGTCCCACTATAATTTTTCATGAACTCTTCTTTTTATGATTGCTGAAGCAATAAGGTGTGCATTCAACTATGAAGAACCATTTTGTATTTTCAGGCCACAGCAATTAAATTTATTTCCAAGAATAATTGCTCGTCCCTAAAACATCATAAATAGGTGTAAGAAA